GACCCGGGGGCCCCTCTGCTGCCCTCTGCCTGTGGCTAGAGCTTCCCGGCCAAGGGGAGCCCAGGGGGGCTAGTGGCTCCGACTCCCTCCAGGCACGTTGGGTTTGTGCAAGTGCTGTATTTGATTCCAGTAAGAAGTACCTTCGGGCTCGGGCAGCGGGGAGAGGAGAAGCTCCCGAGCCCCCGCCAGCCCTTAGGTGAGGCGGATCCCGAGCACTTGTTCCAGTTCCTGCCGACGCTGCTGGACCTGGAGGAGGCAGAGGCAGTCAGGCAGGGAGAGGTGCTGCCCCAGAGATCCCTCCCCCCCACTGCCATCCTGACCCGCCTCAGCACCCCCCAGCACGGCTCAGAGCCCACCTTGGCAAAGATGTGTCTGCCCACAGCCTCCTGCGCCCAGGGCTGCTGGTAGAACTCGGCTCGCCGCTCCTCCTCGGGGTTCCCGATCACATCCGTTATGATCTGAGCAAAACAGGGTGGGGGGGCACACGGGGTAAGCACCAGTGCCAGACCCTTCCCTCACCTCCCCACCTCTGCCCAGCCCCAGGGCTTTACCTTGAGGTCTCTCCTCTGGGATTTGATCCATTCCTGGATGAAATCCTGCGGGTTGTTGCTGAAGCTCAGCATGAAATCACGCTGCGTCTTCAGCTGGTTGATGGATTCGATGGTCTCGTGAATCTAGGGTGATGACAAGTGGTGAGAGGCAGCTGTGTCCCCCCAAAGAGGACACCAAGCTCCCCCCAGCTCTGTGGCGCAGCCTGGAAGCGCCACCCTGGCTGGGTCCCCGCACCTTGGCATCCAGGGAGGCGATCTCCTGCTGGTTGGTGGTGGAAGCCAGGAAGTTGCTCATCTGAGCTTTCAGGGGATCATCCACCTCCACATCAATGTCATAGCAGGCTGTCTTCTTCTGGTCGTTGGGGTCCACACTGGAAGGAAATGGGACATTAGGGGGGACGTCCTCAGCCTCCACCGACAGCAGCATGAGTACCCCACAGACTGCCCCAAGAAGCCCCCAAATCTTTTTGGCTGATTCTTCTTCCCCACAAGTGACTTGTGCTCACTGCTGCTTTGGGCTGGAGACCTCGTGGCCCTGGCAGGTACTGCCCTCCCCTCCTGCCCCTCCACGCTGGGGAATGCTGCCCGGTGCACACCCCTCCACCCCTACCTGATGGTGTGGTTGATGATGATGGGATCTGGGTGCTGCAGGAGCCCCGCCAGCTTCATGGGGATCTCGGAGAAGCGCATGCGGATGCAGTTAAAGATCTGGAGGGGCAAAGCAGAGCGTTTGCTGTCCCAGGCAGGGGCTCCTTCCACCTGCCATGGACAGGGCCAGGCAGGAGGAGGGGACTTGCCCGGACGTGGTTTGTGCTTGGCAAGCTGATGGATGCAAGCTAGAGCCTGGGGAAGTGACAAAATCAGTCTGGAGTGCCTGTTCTGAGCCAGAAAGGACACTTTTTCTGGCTGCACTGGGGACGGGAAGGGTGCTTTCCTGCCAGCAAACCACGCTGGTGCCACAGGGTGAGGGCTGACCTGGCGGAAGTAGCGGTTGCAGTTGATGTACTCCTTCTCGTGACTGTCCTGCAGCTTGTTGTGCTTGATGTAGAGCCAGAGCGCCTGCATGATGCTGGCGCGGGTCTGGGTGTGCACCCCGAGCAGGCGAGCCAGGCGAGGGTCCAGTTTGTACTGTGGTGGCTGCAGGGACAGGTGGGATGAAGGGGTCTGCCCGGCATGTGGAAGGGCCCCTCCGGTGGGCACGCTGCCCCACACGGCCCTTGTGTCACAAACTTGTGTCACTGCAGGCTGTGGGGTCTGTGCCTGGAGCTCTCTGTGCCACTTTCCATCCCCACAGCCCCCCCAACAGCATCATACAAGGCCCTGCCCCAGCCCAGGCCCATTCCCCCCCACCTTGGACTGCCCCAGGCGCACCAGCCATGCAGGAGGAAGGGCAGCCGGGCATGGCCAGCTTCCACGCGGCCCAGCAGCCCCTACCTGGTGATCCAGCATGAGCAGCAGAGTGCATTTCACATTGACGTCGCCGGGACGCTTCACTTGGAAGCCATCGGTCTCCTGGGTTGTGGGCAGCCGGTGCCACTACGAGAGACCAAGGGAACACTGGTCAACTCCACAACCGTGACAAGCCACCTGCTAACAGGTTTTGGGGTCTGCAGCCAGGAGCAGAGCGCACCAGTGCTCAGGCTCTGCACAGGGGTGTAGCAGAGGCAGACAGCCTGGATCCCACCTCTGGCAGCTCCTGGCAGTCTGACCCCAGTGTGCTTCAGCTGAGAGCCCACCCGGTCTAACAGATACAGCTTGATGTGGTCCAGCCCAGAGGTGGATGGGAGTTTGGATGGACTGTGTGTGTGTGTGGGAGTTACAGCCCTGAGCACTTGACGTCAAGAGCTCAAACAGCTCCTAGGATCAATCCTGCCTCAGCCAGTACAGGGACTGGGCAGCAGAACTGCTCTCACAAACCACTCCATGCATGAAGGGGATTCACCCCCACAGGCATGGCTGCAGAAACAAGCATTTCTTGGGAGAAACGAGATGAGCTGGGTGCAGGGAAAGTCTGTTCCAGGCAGGAGCACCCCAAAAAAAGATCTGATCCCACTCACAAGCAGTGCTTAACCTCCCTGAGGAATTTCCAGCCAGGCAGCAGGCTGGGAGGCAACAGGGCAGACCCTTCTTCCCACTTGGCACTGGGACTTACAGATGAGCCTTTCCATGGCATCATCACCCACATTGGGCCTCATATTTGCAAATCTGTGGAGCCCGGAGCTGCTCAAACCACCTCTCAGAGCCACGTCCTCGCTGCAGCCCCACACCTCTTGGCTCTAGCTGCGTACTTGTGGGCATGAGGGGGTTAAGCGCTGAGCAGGCAGCAGTTGCTGCTGGGAGCTGTACTCCGGCCACCAGCCAGCACCAGGGAGGAAAACGCAGCTGTGAACACAGCCTGGAAAGCACGGCAGTATAATCGCTTGGGACGGCTTAGCACCACTCCCCGGCACCCAAAAGCACCTTGCTCAACCCCCTCTTGCAGCGGAACAGCCTGGGGAGCTGCCAGGGTGAGCAGCAGGACCACCTCCCCTCCGCCTGCTGGGATTAGGGCTCTCCCCTCCCTGCCCGCCCCGCAGTGTGGCCGGGAGCCCCCGTCTCACCTCCACCAGATGGTTGTCTGGCCCGTACAGCTCTTTGTCCAGCTCGATGACAAGGCTCTTGAAAAAGGAGGAGAATTTCCTCTTCTGCTTGCTCGGCTGCAAAATAAGAGCGGGAGAGGCTTGGCCTGACACCGCCTGCCATGGAGGGCCCCAGCCCAAAGGCTGCCCCCAGCGCCCAGCGAGCAGAAGGCCGTGTCCACCCCAGCTCTCAGCACAGCCTTCCTCCCACAACCAGTTCATCCCTGCGCGTATCCTTACGTCCTCCAGCAGTTTGCCCTCCACACGTAGCTCCCAGGAGGCCACACGCTCACCACCCTCCCCTTCTTCTTTGGCTGGGGTGAAAGTGTTGGAGATGTAAATCCTCAGCTTCCGCTTTTGCTGTGGAATAGAAAAACAGAAAGGGGGATGCTTGGGGTGAGAAGGTGGCTGGAAGCACCCACAGCAGCACCCACCCTGTAACTCCCCTGCCCAGCAGCTCGCCCTCCTGGCCAGCCAGGGCTGCTACGCACCGTCAGTGGTTTCTTAATGGCCTCCTGAATCTCCATCCTCTTCCGAGCGATGGTTTGGTCCAGCTTGCGCTCAAAGGCGAGGAGGTCCATGTAGGCCTGGGATTCTGGGACCAGCTCCCGGATCTGGCAAACAAATGATCAGTCCCTCGTGCTGGGACGGGGCTGTCGCCCCACACCAGCCCTGGCAACCCTACCAGTGCTGGGCTGACATGCCAAGGCATCACCGAGTGACAAGTCTGGTACGAAATCACCAATTTCTCATTTCAAACCAAGAATACAGCCCTGCAAAGCTCTGCCCAAATCAGAGCTGTACTGCAGACCTCAGTTTGGAGCCTGACACTGTGCCCAGCAGCCTGCCCAGTGTCACAGGCAGGTAACATAACCCTGGATTGCCAAGAGGGACCCCAGGAGAGGCTCCGGGTCCTCCTGGGGTCTCCACCCCAAGCCATTGCTGCTCCTTGCTTGCTTAAAGTCCTGCTTGTCCAATTAGTGCACGTTCCCCTCCAGCTGCTCAACTCCTTCCCCATGCACCATGGTGACACTCACCCTCTGTGGCAGAACCTTGTCAGCCATCTTCCTCCTTTTCACCCTGTAAAAAGCAGAGAGACAGACAGAAAAAAATAAAAATAATATTACATGGCAGCTCTTGCAGGACACCTTATTGCCTGCCCCGTGGGAAGCTGCTGCATGTCCCATGCTTGGGCAGCAGTGAGTCTCAGGGGACAACACTGAGATCTGCCTGCACACCTGGAGCCCGGTGGCTCTTTTGGCCCCATCGCAGCCATGAACAGGGCCAGGCTCTGGGATGGGGAATCACGGCGGCAGTGTCAGCTGCGTGCCACGTGCATGGCTTGGTCTGAGCTCCAGTGAACAGGTCTGGAGGAGCAGGTCTCCTTTTTGGGGCTGCTCTATGTGACAGGGACTTCAGACTTGCAGGAAGGGAGCAAAAAAAGGCTGAAAGAGCACCCAGAGCACAAGTCCTTGGACTGGTGCTGGAAGGAAAATGAGTAAGAGATTATAACCCTGTGGGCAAGCCAAGATGACTCCTGGGGGTAAGGTGTTGGACGTCTAGAGCCTATCACCAGGGAAGGAAATCCAGTCCTTGGGTTCCGTTTGCTTCGCCTCTGCTGCTTGCTAAAGGTGCTGCAGGGCAGGAGCAAGGAGAAGGTGGCACAAGGCAATGCTGTGGCTGGAGGCATGCTTCCGTTTCCTCTGGAAATAGCCATCACATTCTCCCAATGCCAAAAACCAAAGCTCAGTTCCAGGAACTCACTTAAAAGCAGCTTAAAACAAACCAACCTGGCAATGGTGGGGCCAAAATCATCGTGGGTAGAGGAAGCAGAGTGGCCTCTCGAGCCACAGAACGGCTGCAGCCTTGCTCAGAGCCACTTTAGCTCTCTCTAGGTGTGTAGTACTTCGTCAGACCACAGGGCCCTGGGCTCTCCTCCCACCCTGCATGCCGCAGGCACCCTGTCAGCCTGAGCCCACCCTGATGCCCCACTAAATTCATGCGCAATGCCTGGATACACAGGGAACCACTCCCCTTCCATTCTGCTGCACACATGAGTAAGGGATGGGGCAGAGTCCAGCAGGCAAAGGGAAGTCCCTTTCCCTCGGCAGCATGTGAAGCAGCAAGGTGGCAAACGCAGCCCTTCGTGCTGCCATCACGAGGTGTCCAAGGTACACTGGCTGCCCCACGGCTGCTCGCGCAAGAGGACGCGTTGGGAGGGCAGCTCTAGCCAAGAGCGGGATCAGAGCGCTTCTTTGAGCTCTTCTTGCTGCATCGTCCTGGTTTGCAGCTGGGACAGAGTTAATTTTCACAAGAAGCTGGCAGAGGACACAGCCAGGACAGGTGACCCAAACTGGCCAAAGGGGTACTCCATACCATATGACGTCATGCTCCGTATATAAAAGGAGCTGGCCAGGGAGGAGGGGTGAGCAAATTGCATTGAGCATCACCTGCTTTGTACGTTCTAAGTACTGTTGTTGTCATTTCCCTCCTCCTTTGCTGTCCCAGTAAACCGTCCGTATCCCAACCCCACGAGTTTTACCTTTTTCTTCCATCCCACGGGGTGGGAGGGGTGAGTGAGCAGCTGCGTGGGGCTTAGCTGCCGGCTGGGGCTAAACCACGACTGGTATTAAGTGCTTCCTGCCCTGCAGGGTTTGGCCACCCCATTAGCAGCTGGCAGTTCCTGATCCCTTGATCCGCAGCCGGCTGGGAGCGAGGATGCCCGACCAGCCAAGCACGGCTGATCCCACACAGCCAGCCCCTGGGAACAGAGCTGCAGCCTTATCTGGCCGCTGATGTCCTTGTTCGGTGGCGAGCTGCCCCTTGTCCTTAATCCCCAGCCTGCTCTGGAGCACCAAAGAGATGTGCAGCCACTGTGCTGCGACTCCCTATGGGGGCATCAGGGAGCCCTGCCATGCATCCAGGGCACGGAAAAGGACCCGAGTATCCATTAGGAGCAAGGGACCCTGCCCTGAGAAACAGCCTCCAATAATCAAGAAGCCCTAGTGGAAAACAGAAACTGAGCAAAGGGATTAGCAGTGTTGTAAACAAGCGAGCAGCTGCTGGCAGAGACCTCAGACTAGCCCAAACGAACCGTCCTACCGAGACCGCAACTCTGGGAAGCATCTCTGCAACCTGCCACCCCATGCCCCATTTCCACCCATGTCTGTGCCTGCCAGAGCCAGCACGAACCTCTGTGAGAAGGGGAAAGACTCTGAGGAGCCGGCACTGGGGCATCTGGCAAGCACAAACACGTGCAGCGAGGCTTTTCAGTTACTGGCATGGAAATCAGAATGTGGGGAAGCTGCAAGCTGAGCGATCTCTGCTCCCACCCCTCCCC